TCTCTCTATGTCTCTCTCTCTCCAATTTTGGTTTCCTGGCAGATCAGAGAGATTATTATTATGGGCTGGAGGAACAGTTTCCCACGGCAACAGATAAGGTCTCTGTTCAGAGAGACACACCCAGACACACACACACACAAACATATCAGATCAGCACAGTTTATGTTTTCCATATTGCTCACCTCCACCAATCAGGTTCTGTGTTCAGTCCAGTTTTGATCCAGATGCAAACTGAAAATGAATGAATGAATTATATTTATCAAATATTTTTTGTTATTAAAGTAACACATTTAGAGTAGTGGGTGCATTGTGTCACTGTGTTATCTATATTTTATGGGCTGTAAGCTAACAGGCTAATTACCAATCCATGCTGGGTTTTGTTGACAAAAGAGAGAACAATCCTGGAAACTCAGTTATGAGGACTGGAATTGTGACATGTTACATGCAGTCACTGCTCCCGGCCGTGGTTGGTTTAACAGATAGCTCCAATGCTTAGGCACATATTGGACAATGAGGACCTCTCAAAATGTCTTTTTTGCCTTCCTCAATCCCAGTTTATACTGTAATGTTTGAGATAAAACCATAAATGTGTAGCTTCAAGTTAGCTTTAAGGGACCGTAGACTTTTGGCGTGACATATTGTGCATTGTGCAATGCCCATTGTTAATGACAACATCCTTGATTACAATGGTTCTATTCAGAACTGATGGAAACACGTGCTGGTTCAAGAACCAGAGCTAATTTAGTGGAAAACATTATAAGTCATCTCAGTGGGTGTGTTGTGTAGTGTAGTAGGTATGACGTGTAGTCTGCGAGACTTCCAAAGGTCCTTGAAGATGTTCACAAAGAGGTTCCAAAACACCCACACACCCAAGCCTGGGTGACAGTGGCAGGTTATTATCTGTCTGTCAGCACAACCTGGACAGAACCCCCATACACCTGTGTGATGGTGTGTCTGCGTCTGAGTGTGCGCCGCACGCTTCAGGCAGAAGGTTTTCTGGAACAAAGCGTTTGGGGTCGGTGCGGCCTTGACACCTGATTCAAACACTACAAAGGGAGAGGATTTCCTTGCCGTCCCATCATCCATTTCTCTCTGTGATCTCGGATACATCTAATGACATTCCCATGACACATGATTCCCAGGAATCTGGCCGTTGGGGTGCCATAAATAATGGCACCTGTTGTAACACTAGGAGGAGCTACACCTTCAGCCCACTGAACAGCTGGAGCATCTTCATCTTCTGTGCCTAATGTGAGAGGTTGGTCACAGAGCTGCATTCATACCTACTATCAGAAATAACCCAATAACTTTACATTAAAGTACATTAACGGAGTTCGAATCGGTTACACATTAACGATGCATGTTGACTGATTATAAACAGGAAGTAATATTCTTGAGTGGGTGCCGGTTCTATCAGAAGTCTTTGAGTAGATTCAGATGGTCCTTGAGGAGATTCCAGTGGTCGTAGAAGAGATTACAGTAGTTCTCGAGGATGTGGGGTCCTTGAGTTGATTCCAGGGGTCCTGAGAATCTAGCAGATGTTTTTGAGGAGGTTCCAGAGGTCCTAGAAGAATTCACAGTGGTCCTTGATAGGGTTCCAGGGGTCCTTCAGAAGTTACCTGAGGTCTGTGAGCAGGCTCAAATGGTCCCCCAATGGGGTCCTGGAAGAAATTACAGATGTCTTTGAGGAAGCATGAAGTCATTTAGTGGTTTACAGGGGTCCATGAGAAGGTACCAGATGTGTTTAAGGAAGTTGAAATGGTTCTTATGGGGGTTCCAGGGGTCCTGAAGAGGTTCAACTGGTCCTTGAGGGGTGCATGAGGGAATTACAGGTGACCTTGGGTGAGGAAGTACAAACAGACTGTGTAGCATCAGTACTGTTGCTATAGTAACCTGCAGTTTCAAGGCCTGCACACACAGGTGTTTTCACTGCGGTTGATTAGACCTCTGCCTCAGCTGAAGTTGGATGGACCTGTGCTACTTGACGTCACCAATAAGAATGAGAAGGGGTACGTTTTCCACAGATGCATCAAAGCTAATAGGTTCAGGTAGATGTCAATCAAGTTCACTTCATACATGCCCCACATAGTCCTGAGAAGAGTTGTAATTGAACAAAATAAGGGGAATCACCTTTGTGGGTGTAGTGAGAGGCATTCTGAGACTTAACAATGATGACGGGACCCCTGGAGAGCTGTGTGCAGTCACCATGGCTAACTGTTGATGGTCAGGAAATAGCTTACCAACTGTATGCTTGTTAAACTGCAGTGTCTCATTGGACAGTGATCACTTTGGAACATGATTTTGACTTAGTTTTTACCTTCCAAGAACAGGACACATTAGCTAACGTTACTGCTGGAGACATAACACTACTGATGCAAGTCAGTGCTAAATGCTAAGTGTAAACTTCTAAAGAAGAGAATATTTTAGGGGTGGTGGAGGAAACTGTTTTATCAATCATTAGCACAGACATTTTGTCATAGTTTTTGTTTTTAAGGTTTACTTGTTTGTTTTTCCCCCTCATTTTCATTGTGGGGAAAAAGTGTTTACAGCTGTGCTAGCAGCTCTTAGCTAAAAGCTAACATGCTCACAGTGGCTATGCTAACATACTAACGTTTAGCGGCTAATATGTACCCCGTTCACCACCTTTGTTAAGCTTGTTAGCGTGCTAACATTTGCTAATTAACAATTAACACAAAGTACAGTACAGTATTTTGTCATAAAACGTAAGTATTGGAATCTGACCTGATGATGGCGCTAGAGGACAGGTTGGGGGATCACCAAAGTCATTCAGATGAATGTTTTTGGGACCACTGATATCCGTAGCAAATTTCTCAGCAATGGAAAAGTCAGGGAGTGGCCACAGTCACGATACGTCATCTGGGAAAACAGGGATATTTCACTATTTATTTTTTCAGTGAGTAATTGGTAACAAAGTTATTTATTGCATTCTTCTAGTAACTTGCCCAACACTGATCAGTAACCTCTGTTAATATGTCTGCACTCGTTTTTGGACTCCAGCCGTTCTAACAGTGTTCTAACCGTCAATAGTCAGCTCATTGTTCACTGTAGCACCACATGCTGCATCATGAGACGTCTTTCTCCCCGCGGCTGGTTTTTAACAACATTCTCTCTACTTGTTTATCTGTCCTCCCTCGTCTTCCTCATACATCCTCCTCCTCACTGTTCTGCTCCTCCCTCCTTCCTCTCTCACCTTTGCACTTGTTATTGCTTCTTCTTTACCTCTCACCCCTTCCCCAAGTTATTCTGTTGTTTTCATTTCACAGCTTTTAGAGGCAGTATAGGGTTCCTCAAAAGTTCCTCAAACTTTAGCATTTTTTAAATCCTCCCCTTCCTTTATCTCTCTCACTATTTCCTCTCTTTCCACCATCTCTCTATCAGTCTTTTAGTTGCTCCATTCCTCATCTTCTCCCTAACCACTTTTATCTCTCTCCGTCCTCCCTCCCTTTCTTGCTACCAGTTCTCTCTATCTCTTACCCTACCTCCCTCCCCCCCCTCTCCCTCTCCCTCTCTCTCTCTCCTTAGACTCTCAGTGTGTCTCTTTCTCTCACTCACACCACATCAACAGTTACCACCCAGACCAAGTTGGGCCGAGGATGTTTACTTTATGCCTTTATCGTACGGTGGCCTAATGACGCTTAATTGCTTCATTTGCTTAACGAGCTCAGGGGCCGGGGACCAATGCAAAGCGACTCTATCCGTCCAACCAGCCCCAGACTGGAACTGGAGCGAGGAGACAGATCAGAGGGTGGCAGAGACGGGATCGGTAGAGGCGAGTCTTTTCGATGGAGTTTTGATGGAAAAGAGGAGTAGGTGAATTGAGAAAATGCAGGAATAGTTTGGTTGTGTTGGTGTGGGTGACATTTGACTTGAAAGAGCGTGTTAATCTGTGGTAGTTTTAAGTAGAAGCAGAGTAGATGCAGGTAGAAGAAGAAAGGAGGTTTCGGCAAAAGTTGTAAGTAAGATATGGCAAAATAAGACAGCTGAAGGTCCAAGAGGTGTAGTGAAGTGCAGTAGAGTAGATTTTATTAGAGGACAAGTACTTTTTGATGGACTCTTGTACACAGGGAAGCATGTAAAGGAACAGTTGAGTAGAGGTCTGTTGAAATCAGAAAAAAATAGGTTTTCTTGCTTTCTAGAAGGATACACACCAAAAAAACATCTTGAGGTTGAGTAAAGGGTGTGGAAATGGAACTTTCTGGGACTTTCTAAGAGAAGAAGAACAACATAGAAAAGGAAAGTACAGCTAAAAAGAAAGCAGTACAGTAGAAACTAGAATAAAGTGGACTTTGTATCGGGAACATGGAGCTGCTGGAGGCGCTCTACCGCAGGAAGCTCCGGAAGAAGCAGAAGAAAGCAGAGCTGGGCCGGTCGGATGGGGCGCTGTGTCGGTCGCCGTCAGAGGCCAGCGTCAACAGCCTGGCGACTGGCCTCATCTCCAAAGTCCTCAGGTTCACCTCCAGGTAAAGCAAGTCACGTTTAGTTCAGTCTGTCAGAACGATGGGAGACTAAATCAAAATGAAAAACAATATTTTCAGTGTGGCATAAATATATTTGTTTGTGGACCATGGATTGGTCTGGATTTGAGTATTCATCAGTGACAGGTGATACCTGAGTACTCAGGACTTCAAACCAAATTTGCTAAATGTATAACTCTGATGTTTATGAGGTGAGCATGACATTAGTGACTCAGACACTTTCAGGTCATGGACTGGTCATCTACTGCATGTCTTGGACATAAACCTGGTAACTCGGAGAGGACATTTGTGATTCAGACATGACATTTCAAACTTCTTTGTCTAATAATTGTCATAGACATAACCTCGGTGAATCAAACATGACATTTTTGTCATATGCATAAACTTGGTGACTCGTACAAGACATTTAAGATTTATATATCATCTTGGTTTAAGATATACTGTAATCTTGGTGACTCTGACATGAAATTTCTGACATGGACATAACCTTGGTGACTTGACATGATATTTAAGAATTGTATATGGCATCTTAAGACATAACCTTAGTGACACTTTACATTTTTAAACTCAGACAGGACACGTAAGACTTGCACATAATGTTTGAGACTTGTGACTCTTCACCCCTTGATGACTTTTGTGTGACCTGGGTGACTCTGTCCTTTGCAGCCCTAAAATTACCGTGGTAACTGGCATAAAACCTCTCTGAAGTGGACAATAGATTTGTGACTGTCATGAATGTCATGGATGACGTAACATGAACCTGACAAATACCGTCTTATTGTGAATGCAGGGCCAAATGAAGACAAAAATGTATCTTTATATGCACGAGTTGCAGGTTGCAGGATTGGACTTGGAAACTCAAACCAAATGATACTACACTGCACTCTAGCCAGTCCCCCCAGACCTAATGGAGAGGGTGAATATCTGTGTAAGTGTAACGGTGATGATAACGTGTTGAAGTATTCCAGTCACGTCCTGTAATTACCCAGGGTCCTGTGGTTCAGAGACATGCAGGCTTTCATGTCTCTGTCTACTGCTTACTCAGATACAATCTTTTCCTGTTTATCTGTGTGGATAAATACAGAGCAGCAGAACATGTCAAATATGACGAGGATGAAGCAGGATTATTGTAGCCAGGGTCAGACTGGGAACAAAATTCAGCCCAGACAATTTTTGTCTGGACTGGCCCCATATTCCTAATATATGCACTTATGAGTTACATAAAGTAATATCAGGGCAGTATTACCTGCTGGAGGTTGTCATGTTGCTCGTCCTCTGCAGCGGCCTCTTGCTGCTGAATCAGCCTGCTGCCCATTCGTCCAGACTCTGTCTTGACCTCCTCTTCATTTGGCACTGGCGAACTGTTAATGTTGTCGCTGCAGCTAGCAGGATTTTGCGTGGCACTGGCATCAATACCGTTAATTTTTAAATAAATGTGTCAGCTTAAAACATTTTGCAGCATCAGCCTCGAGATATTCCTTTATTTCCTCTTTGTATTTTCGATTTGAACTTCGTTCTTTCTAGCTTGATTTAATTTAAGGAGGTAATGATGGTCAGATGGTTTTGGGGCCGAGTAAACTCCAATCAGATGGGCTGTTCCATCATCAGGTGGGCCGCAGCCAGCAGGTCAAGTTATTTTCCCCCACAATTGTTTCTCCCCCGCAGATATCCAGTCTGAGCCTTATTGTAACCACCATGCTATTCAATGTCTCTGTTACATCTGTTAAGCACTCAAAAATAATGATGGTGATGTCATAAAGATTATCACTACAAACTAAAATATATTATTTCATCCCTGAAATAACCACCATGAACAAATGAACTGAAGACTGTTTTCATGTGTCCAGCATCAGATGAACAAAGCACAAGAAATCTGAATAAATCAGACAGTACAACAAAAATCAGCACCAGGTTGTCATGTCATATTCACCATTAAGTTATCATCAATGAAACTCAACACTTCCTGATGACTTATACATTCACAGCCAAGTGTTCAGTTTCACTGACAGTAGCTCAACATTATCAAACAAGCAGCAAAGTGGAAATGACTAAGTATTTAGTGCTTGAAAACAGTACTGTGTGTATGTATGTTTAAAAACTAAAACTCGGGCGTCCGGTTAGCTCACTTGGTAGAGCTGGCGACCATGGACCGAGTCCTACAGCGGCCCAGGGTTTGAATTAGACCTGTGGCCCTTTGCTGCGTGTCATCCCCTCTCTCTGCCCCCCTTTCCTGTCTAACTCCAGCTGTCAATTAAAGGCAATAAAAGAAAAAAAAAAAACTGAAACTCGGAGCCGTGTGTAAATGTACATTATATAGTAAATTTACCAAGACAACCGGTAAACATTGGATTTGCATTAACAGTAAATAACACGTTAGGATGGATGCATATGAGAAAATATTTAGTTACGTGACCTTTTTAACTGAAGTCTTTTCGCAGTTCGGTTACAACTTGAGAGCTTTTGGGGAGCTTGAAGTTTAAAGTATTTCAGCTTTTTTTGGTTGGAAATGAAGGGAGAGGCAGAGATAGGCAGAAGGTGAGTCAGACTTCTGTGGGATGAGACCAACCAGCTGTGTGTGTGTGTGTGTGTGTTGCGATACCGTGGGAGGTTAATATTTAATGTGGAAATAATCCGTTCTCTGGTTCCAGCTCTGATAATCAACTTTGTTCAGTGGCTGATTCCCTGCAGCAGTTTGAGACATCTAATGGTTCTGTAAATGAAGATCTGTGCAGGATGAAAGCAAACAGTGTATAAAATTAGAAACCATGACTGCGGTGTGAGTGTCGGATGACGTGGGCAGCTTTTTGTATCATCCAAAATAAATTTAAAAATAGGATACATCCCTCTCAAACACACATTTTCAGATATTTTTTTAGAGAATGGTTCAACAATTTTAGAAAAACACTTTTTCACTAGTCTGTATAGTAAATACGTAGCTCGAACCAGCTGCCGTTAGCTTAGCTTAGTCCCTGCTGGCCAGAGCAAAGATGCTCCATAGCAAACTGCACCAATGGTATGAAATGGTACACTTTCTGTCTCCTAAGTGGTTGCCTCTTCCCGCCTCATTTGGAAGTGTTGTGAACATCATGTGGACATATGAAAGCATTCTGTTTTGTGCGTACATGGTGTTGTAATAACAACTTTCTGAACCGTCCAACAGAGAGGTGTGTTTCCAGGTCTCAAACAAAGTCCCCCTCCAGTCAAAAATCTGTTCTTCTTGTCCCTACAGTGTGCTGTTTGAATGATATCTGTGCAGAGTTTGACAGTAGAACGATGTTTTCACATTCATCTGCTGAAAGTGGAGAGTTCCTCTGTGCTCATTGAAAATCTGATTTTAAGGGGTCTACCAGCAGGATTTGTGACATCACAAATAGTTTAGAAGTCAGTCCTGGTCCAGTATGCAACTTGTACAGTGTGATGTTGAAAGACATGTCCAGTGTACATCCACTGAGAATGGACTTTACAGTGAAGTAGGAGACCTCTTGTGTCCAGCAGGAAAACTTTAGAAATGAACAACATTTGTATATTCAGAGATTCTGGGATTTGTTCAATGAGGTAGAAGGAGTGGATGACTTTTTAAGGATTTTAATGTGGAAATGATACTTGGCAATGATACTAAGCAGAAAAACATATCAGACACACATTATGGTTCCAAGCAGACTATTTGTATATATGTCTTAATACATGTCTGGAGGGGATCTTTGATTATCTTTTGATTTGTCTGTCAGAAAAAGGCCATTTTAGTGTCAGCATGTTCAGAAAATAAAGTATGTGGCTTGTGCAGAATGGGTCCAATATTCACTTTGGTGACTTTTGGGCGAAAGAACCGGTCGTAATCTGTGCTCACATTTACTTCTCCCATTGGATTGAACAGACAGAGGACCTGCCGCTAGTCTCCTAAAGGGACAAGTCACGTAACACAGGAAATGACTCTTAAGTGAACCATCTCCTTTCTAAACCATCTCTAGCCAGAGTGAAATACTGTGGAAATGTCATTTTATAAATAGATACAAATTATTTTAACAGTTTCTGTTCAAGTGTTTGTAGATGAGAACATTCTTTTTATTTTTTTATTTTATACCTCTGTATGCTAACATGACTGCATGCCTTCACCTCAACTAAAGGTTTAAAGGAGCTGCTAAACATAACAGGCCATAGCAAATAAATGGCACAGAAAATAACATGAAATAGTTATTTTATTTTATTTAAATAGTAAAAAAATGACTATATGGGGGAAAGGGACAGTAGTAAGAGTGTGCACATGTACAGGTGCATTTATGGACAATTTCCATCTTTTTTTTACGCTGCCTGGAGACTTTGCCTGTAAATGCAGTGTTTTCTTATTTTGTGGAAACAGAATCTCTGTATCCACTTGTGTGCACAGAACAACCACTGACCCATTATGAGCCTGCCTAGGCAAGGAGATTTAATCAAACTCTTTGCAGAGAAAGTACTGAAAGCTGCTGGTTGTGAGGACAGACAGGATGAACATCTACAGTATCTGACCCATGATGCATCATTAATAACATGTTTAATAAAATACCATAGTGGTAATCAGCCTGTACAAGCTAAGTCTGTATGATATGGTGAACATTTTTTCTTTTCAGTTTTGTGGTTTTGATGAGTCAGCAGCAGCTGAACTTGTAGGTTGAAATATTCTTGATCCAATGGATCCTATTGTTTATTTACTGGAATATCTATGGCAGTTTCAGATTGAGCCATAGAAAATGTACTACATCTTTCAGGTTGATTTTTAACCTTTGGACAGAGCCGGTCAAGCTGCTTCTCCCTGATTACAGTCTTTATGCTAAGCTACACTAACCATCTGCTGGGTTCAGCTACATATTTACAGTACAGATATGAGGGTGGTTTTGACCTTCTCAGCCCACTCAGCAAGAAAAGCAATTAAACATATTTCCAAAATGTCAAGCTATTCCTTTTTCAAATTACTGTGGGAATGTTAATATGCTAATGTTAGTACCTGAGCCAAGTCTGTAGACCTGAGCCTTACAAGCTGGGTCTGTGATGTTCTTAAAGGCCAGCGTACCGATGGAACAGTTTTAGAAATACTAAGGTCATTGGTTTAAATTCCTCCAAATTCCTAAGAAATGTCTGACAATAAACCACACTGTGTGTTTTAACCCCACAGACGCAGTGAGCCGGCGTCTCGACCTCACTCGTGGCATTCAGCGAAGCTTGGTGAAGGTCAGCAGCAAGTGGACCCAGTAGCGATGGACACTATGAGCAGTGCCTGGCACCACAGCTACCACCCCAGGTCAGCGTTCTCTGACAATAAATATTCAGAATTGACCCGGGTTTAGTTCTGCCCACCATTTGTATTCTTTAGATTAATTGTTTGCTAGCCAGTTAAGTTTAGTGAACAGGCAGTAGCTGGGTGGGTGCTGTCTTTTAGTATCCTTTGGGCTCTGTGCAGGCATCTCACCTCACCAATATCACTGGGACTGGGAAGATGGTTACCAATGATTTTCTGGGCGGTTATAGTCACTTGCTGCAGAGTCCTCCTGTCCTGTCTTTTACACCACATACAGCATGTTGTTTGTGTATTGCTATGACAACCTCTTCCATAGAATTTCCCATTATTAACATAAATTATAACGTCCATACATTGCGTTCATGGCAGCTGGACGTCTATGAGAAAAGTTATAATGAACTCTTGAATTTGATAGGGATAGGATTGATTGATAAGATTTTATTGATACCACAACCACTATCAATTCTGCTTATGGATCCCTTCGATTCCCTTATTGATTCCTCAGTTTCAATTTTCTGTCTGAAACACATTATCTCAGAGTCTGAACACAGTGTAGACACAGTGTAGAGTTACAGTAGTTTGTTTGTGAAATGAAGCCATGCTTTGGATTGTTTCTTCCTTCCTTGTTGTTTCCAGCAGCATAGACACAGTTTGACATCACTGTTTTGCAATGTGCTACTGTCAGAGAAACATGCCGGCATTAATAAAAGGAATTGATAAGCTCAGTGGCATAGGATTCTGATGAATCGGACAATTTGGAACCAGTTATCAACTAAAACCGGTTCTCGATTCCCATCCCTGGTATTTGATGTCTTGTGTATCTTCAGAAGCTTTGCACAGTACATCCAGGTTTACATCAAGTAATAGGATTATTAAGCATATTTTTTTAACTGTAACATTTCGGCCGTCCACCAGTAAAGGACATTTATCACTGGAGAAGCTTGTGAGTCCTTTATAACGTGACTTCTTCCATGAAGAATGAGTGGACGCTTGTAGATTAGGGGACAATAACACTGTGGTCATAAACGTAATAACACAAGATAAGAAACACAGCGATCTCTTTTATAATACGACTCAGAATCACGTGAACTTGTCTGTATGGTCTTCCAAACCTGTCTGAAGAGAAGGTTTGAATCCCCGATTTTAGGTTTACTGCGCTCTGCTATCACTCAATCACAAGGTCAAAGTTTGTGCTGTACTTCTCATGTCTCATGTCTTATCTCGGACTAATAGACATTCACTCTTGACATTTAATATATCCTGCTTCAAGATCTCAGCTCCTAGGTCCACTCAGTTGTTACTCTCTTGACTTGTAGTTACGGTTGCTATGGTTGTTTAACAAGCCTTTTTAGTTTTTAATGTAACCCTACCATGTGACAGTAAAAAAATTAAAATAGATCAAACAATCAAAGAAAATTATCTCTGGAGAAATTATGACAAGCCAGTCATTTACAGCCTCACAGAGTTCCTGTGGAATTTATAGACAGTTGTGGTTTGACAATCACTCAAACACAGTGCTGAATAAAATACTGCCGGCGACCTCAACCAATCATGGTCACTGTTATATTGCACAAACCAGCTCATTCAGCTTTCATTTAAACTGCCACTGAACATTCACTGTGTGTTTAACACTCCAGCAGTGTTTGCTGATACTGGGGCAGGAATTTGTTCAGGTGACAGAAGGTATAGTGACGGATCAATGTGTGGTGTGGTTAGCTGCTATCTGTCTGTTATATGATGTGACCTTTGACTGTCTGTCTGCATAGTGTGTCTCTATTCTGAAGTGTCTAACTGTTACTGTCAGATGTCAGGTTGTTAACCTCACACTTTCATTTTCTTACATAATCATTTCAAGTCTGTGGTTGATTGCATCCTGACTGTTAATTATTACACACTAAAATATAATGGTTGATTAAAGGACCAGTGTGTAGGATTTAGTGGCATCTAGTGGTAAAGTTGCAGATTGCAACTAACTAAACACCACTCGCATCTGT